ATAGTCAAAAAATAGAACTGATCAGCAAAACATTAACCTAGGTCTGTATGAGCTCAAAAAACAAAATAGAACTTCATGATATGGCAAAGGGCAATAATAAAATAGATATTGAAAAAAGCATCCTGGTTCTGTTGCAGATGTAAGAATAGCCAAACTGGAGTTTTGGATATCAGTTGTTATGGATTTGAGCCAAATCATCTTCTTTTTGGTCTGTAGAAATCGCTTTAGTTAATCTTTCTGGAATCCAAATCGGCTGCTGTTCTCCCTGTGGAAACACATAAACAGACCCCCGACTCCAGACAATCACTGGGTCAGGACCTTGGTTAATCTCTCTGGAATCCAAATCGGCTGCTGTTCTCCCTGTGGAAACACACAAACAGACCCTCGACTCCAGACAATTACTGGGTCAGGACCTTTCCATTGTCCTGTTAGAATATCCTTCCAAAGTACCTTGGGCTTATGTACATTTTTTGGACACATATGCCTTTCCGCAGCACTAAGTCCTGATGAATCCAAATTTAAAAAGTTTAGAGTAAAAAGGGTTATTTTAAGTTTATCTTTGGGGAATATATACCCCTTCCCAATTCCTTCTTTTTGCTTTAATAAGTACATTTTAATAGTTTGATGAGCTCTTTCAACTATGCCTTGTCCCTGTGGATTGTATGGGATTCCTGTTATATGAGTAATGCCAAATGTTGAGCAAAATTGTTTAAAAGAGGTAGAAGTATAACCAGGGGCATTATCTGTTTTTAACTGTTTTGGAACACCCACAGTGGCAAAATTTTGTAAGCAATGAGCTATAACATCTTTAGTTTTTTCTCCGGCATGAAGGGAGCCCATCAAAAATCCAGAAGAAGTATCAACTGTAACATGCAAATATTTTAATTTTCCAAATTCTGGCAAGTGTGTGACGTCCATCTGCCAAATATGGTTAGGTATCAATCCTCTAGGATTGACTCCAAGATTAACTTGTGGTAAAAAGGTCACACAATTTTGACATTGTTTTATTATTTGTCTAGCTTGTTCCTTAGTTATTTTAAAGTGCTTTTGTAAAGTATTAGCATTGACATGGAACTTTTTATGAAAATTTATAGCTTCTTCTAGTGTAGAGAAAATATGTATGTCATGTGTAGTTTTATCTGCTAAATCATTGCCCAAACTAAGGGCTCCAGGCAATCCTGTATGTGCCCTGATATGTCCTATAAAGAATGGATCTTTTCTGTCCCAGATTAGACTTTGTATAGTGGAAAGCAAAGAGAAAACAGTAGAAGAAGGGGAAATCCTACCAGCATCTTCAAGAGATACTATAGCATTAACTACATACTGACTATCAGAAAATAAATTAAATACAGAATCTTTAAACATCACAAAAGCTTGTAAAACTGCATTAAGCTCTACCTTTTGAGCTGATTGTTTGGGTACTAAAAATGTAAAAGTTTGATCAGGGGTAACTACTGCTGCTGTACCATTATTTGACCCATCAGTGAATATATTTGGAGCATTTATGATAGGTGTTTTTCTTGTCATTTTTGGAAAAATTACAGGATGCAATGACCAAAAAGACAATAAAGGATTAGATGGTAAGTGGTTATCAAATGAAACATTAGATTTACACATGATTATTGCCCAAGTACTTAACTCATTAGCTAACTCATCAATTTGATTCATAGTATATGGAGTAATAATTTTATTGGGAGAAATTCCAAACACTCCCTTTGCTGCTTTTATTCCTTTGAGTATTAATTGTCCTACAGCCTCAGGATACCTAGTAAGAATAGTGTTAGGAGAATAAGATAAATGTATCCATAATAATGGACCTTCTTGCCAAAATACTCCTGTAGGAGATGTTGAGAGCCACAGCCTGAGGGGCCCCAGCAAACTTCCAGCTGCCAGCATTTGCTTCATATTCTGGGCTCCCAGAAATGATTTTAGAGGTATCATAAATTTTCCCAACACACAATTCCCCTAGGAAATAGTAGACGTCTGAATAATATTGGTGTCTAAATGAACTCTAACCAACAGAGTTCTTTATTTACCACTATCTGCAGTCTGTCTCTGCCTTCCACTTGACCTCTCAAACTGTATCTATCCAAACAAAACAACAAAAAAAATCAGCACAACTCCATTACCTACCCCAAGGAAAGTTTTTCTATTTTTCTACTCGTTTAATTCTTCTACTAACAGCCATGTTTAAATTCTATCTTCTTTCCTGACCATTCAAACTTCTTCTAAATTGAATTCCTGCTACTTTTTATTGGTAGTACTCTTTATGCATCATTTAATATCATTGCTATTCTATATGATATTGCTGTTTATCATTTGATGTAACATTAAAAGTCTCCAGGTTATTTTTCCAGTCTCATTAAAAGAATGATGGAACATTTTCCATCCCCTTGGCTTACCATGTTAATGTTTAGTAAGAAATACATGGACCCTGTGCAGGTCACAGGAATGAAAGTCTTATCACCATGATTGTAAGAAGATAAAAAAGTCTTTCAGTGAACAAATTGTTCTTTTTTTTAAATTGGAAGTAATTTTAGAAAATAAATTTGATCAAACTATAAGCCCCCAACTAGAATTAGCTATAATGATTTAGTAAAGCAAGAAACTCCTCACCAAACATAAATATGCTTTAATACTATCTGTCTCCTTGGCCTCCTCTGGAGGACTTCTCTAGAGTCTTATTGCCTGGACTAAGTGCCTCTGCAATAGGCTCTCATAGCATTGTGTGTATAAATCCATCTTGAAAATGCATTACTATTTACTAGTCTTTGGGCCACTTGAGAAAAAAAAAAACTCACCTTATTTACTAATTTGCCAAAATGAATAAATATACCATAAAGTAAACTGAAGTTTTAAACTAAATTTGTTTTATTATCATACAAATTATGAAGCATATTTTCTTTCTGTCATTCTTTTTATACAGGAGATTGAACTAAGGGACATTTTATCACTGAGCTACATCTTCAATCTTTTTTTAAAAAAAAAATTCTTTCAGACAGGGTCTTGCTAATTTTCTAGGGCCTCACATAGCTTCCAAGGCTGTCCTTGAACATTTGATCATCTTGCCTCAGCCTCCCAAATAGTTAAGAATATAGTCCTATGCCACCATGTTCAGAAAGCATCTTTATTTATAAATGATGAAAATCTCTAAAATATGTCATAGTCAACCTTTATAGGTTCTGTTTATATCATGCCATTTTCAGTTTTTTTCACTCTATATAGTCACTGTGTTGGATGAATAAATGATTTTAGCTAATATTTTTAAGAAGCATTCATATTAATTTGAATTGGTATAATATGACTTCACTTTGCACTTCCTACAATAAAAACATGTAAAACATTAAAAATATAGCTTCTGTAGTTTTACATGCCAAAGTATTTGTCATATTGTTTTTAACATTTGCTATCATTTTCACATTTAAGTCAAACTAGAATATATTACAGTGTAATGAACATCTTTTTATTTGTGTATGACTCCTGCCATCTTGTAGACTTTTATATATCAAATATTTTCTAAAAGATCATAAAGATTTTACATTCATTATAATAGTCATTTATAAATGAGTTAAAGTAATTTTATTACCGATTATGAAGAAAAACATATTTTAGTCAAAATTTAATGCATGAATTTTTAATTATTAGTTTTTCTGTATATCTGCAAACACTTCTTCAAGAAATTACGTTCAGACAGGTCGTGCTCCTCATTTGATCTTCCATCTGTGACTACAAGGGCCACACACATTTATCTAAATAACATAAACTGAACTAAGTCCATGTCACTTTTGAATGCAACTTGAGAGCGGGAGCTCAGCCTTGGAAACACATGCTTTGGGCTTTGGGTATCTGACTTGGTGTTTGGCTTCTTCTTGGCATGAACATATTCGTAATCAATACTATTGACAGTTTCCTTCTAGCGATGGACAGAAGAGGTAATGTGCTCTTGATGGCCAAACTGAAACTGTCAACTGTCTGCAGCAATATATGATCAAGTGGCAGCTTTGAAATGATGTTCCCTGGAGAGAACAGAAGGTTTTCCTTCTTTTATTTTCGGTGAGCAGCTTGGTTTACTCTGTGCTGTTATCTCATAAAGTGAGAACCCGTATGTCTTGCTCTGAGAACACCGTCTCCACTGGGGACCAGTGTGTCCCTGGCCATGCAATATCAGGTTTGTTGCCACGTGACTTATCAGAAGTCTTAAGAACAACTGTCAAATCAGAACATACCAGACTAATCTGAAGCCTGAATGTAAGTATTGCATGAAATAAATTATGGAACTCCAAAACAAGCCAAACTATGAACAAACAAAATTAAATATCACAAATTCCTATTAGATTGGTTCTGTTTTACGATATTTTGATGATAGAGTTTTTTTCTTCTAATGACAAACAAATCTATTAATGAACCAAACAAATTTCAAATCATTTTCTGTTCTCAAATATAAAGATGTTTAATAGAAATATCGGAATTTCGGAGTCCCATTTCATCATAGAATGATTTTTCTTATATAATATGGATGACTGGTTTTAAATTGAGGAACTGAAAAATCTCCATTTTGTTATGATTTTTGATATGTGCTTCCAATTTAAAGCAGCATTTGCTTCTTCTTAAAGTTCAAGTATTGTTGAATTGAACAATATTTTCCTTTACACACAATTCCATTTTTCCCCTCCCCCCCCCAAATTAAGCTGATAACTAAACATCATCATTGGAAAGAGACAGCAATGATGTTTGGGAAAGCACACCTATAAGAAAAATTTGTTCTTTCAAAAATCTCCATTTTATACTTAAGGTATTGATCTACTATAATAAAAAATTATATCTGCATATTAAGTATCAAATCAATATAAAGCTTAATTAAATCCACAGAAATTTATGTTAGTGAGATAAACCCCTTCTTATCAGAAATTTATCAGATTAAAGTTTCCCTTCCTCTTCTAGAGAAAGGGATAAGAGGACCTTTGCTGATATCTGCATTTACGAATAGAGAAACTACATACCTTTGTGTGTCTAAACCCGTTTTGATGGCCTCTTCAGGTGGAGAGGCTTGCTGCTGGGGCTCCAGGAGGAGGCAGAAACTCCACCACTGGGGACGCCAGAGCCTGAGGTGAAAGGTGCTCTGCTAGGTTTCCAGGGACGCCAAAGCCGGGTCTGCAAACTGAGGGGTGGCGGGGCGCGGCTAAGTAACAGACCTTTACTGTCTCACCATGCTGGAGACTGGAAGGCCACCATCCAGGAGTCACCAGGCCTGTGTGTTTAAGACTGGGAAGGAGCACTGTGTCCCAGGCCTCTCTCCAGCCTCGGGGTTTGCAGGCAACCCGGGGCAGTGCAGGCTTCTGCTGCCTCATCATCCCTCCCTCCACCTTCCTTTGACATGCTCTTCCCCCACGTGCAACCCTGTGTCCAGTTCTCTTATTTACACAGGCACAAGTTTGTGGATAAGTAGGTTGACCCTAGTCCCATGTGACCTCATCTTACCCAAGTACATCTCAAAGACCTGATTTCCCAATAAGGTCACGCTCTGAGGTACTGGGGTAAACTGGACAGCATATTAATTTGGAAAGAACACAATTCAACCTGCAAGAAGAACAATAAGCCCTTAGATCAGAGAGCAAGGCTGAAGGAGATAAGGCCCTGATGCAGATTCCCAGGTTTAGCATGGACACTTGCCAACCTTGGGACCCTCAGCATCTGCTTGTTTCAATATAGCTGGTGACATCCACCAAGAAAAGAGTGGCACAGTAGCCACCCGCACCTTCACTAGAAGCAGATTAAATAAAACCCAAATTTGTTTAATTTGTTTAATTGCTAAGGAATTAGTAGATGACATTGGATTTTTTTCATGAATATATTCCTGGGATAGAATGCTAATTACCGCTGTAAATACAGCCCAGAATCTGGCATCCTTAGTCCATAATATCCCTTTCCCTTACCTTAGCAAAGTTGCTCTTCCTCCTTCCTCCCTCCTGTCCTCCTTGCTTCTCTCTCTACTGTGTTATTGTCTCCTTCTTTTGGCAATTGTCACAAATCTCTAACAACAACTGCTCTTCAACTTACTTTTATTGCTTAAATTCTCAAAATTTTGCCTAAAATGCTTAGAAAAATAAACACCACAGATATTATGGAAAGTGAAGCTGAACTCATAGTCAAAATATAGGTCGGAAATTGATGGTTTGGGGGATCATTAGATTTAAATGATTACCTGCCCATCCTTATTTTTGGAAATTATTGTAAATCAATGTATGTACATATTGGTTATTCCTTGAGTAAGTACTATTTGAAATCAGTAAATAATTTGTAAGTCAAACATAGACTTATTTAGTATTATCCCTAAAAAACGCAATGCTACTAGGTCAACATAAACTTTCAAAATTATATATATATATATATATATATATATATATATATATATATATATATATATATAAAGCTTAAACTTTCAAAAATAGTTTTATTTAATTAGTGGCGCTGGTGATGTTGATTCACCAAATGAACATGAGTGTGTACTGACCATTGTAGACATGTTCCCACCTAAAACTCATTGGTAAATTCCTTTGAAAAGAATGTATAGGTAAAGAGATTTAACTGTCCTGATGTTGAGTCTATTAAATGTTAATTCTGTCTTAAATATAATTTTAGATAGGATTACTGGAGGCATTTTCAGGAAAATCTTCAAGATAGGAACTGGCAATGCTTTGAAAAGTGTAATGATGTGCACTTGAGATTTAAAATGCATATGTGGTTATTGAATAAATTTTGGAAAAATCAAAGCAGTAAATAATTATGTTTGCAACTGGATAATCATGTAGGCAATCGAGCAATTCCAATTGCAATTGGACACTTTCCACTCATCTGAGAGTTGTAATTAACCAATTTTAGGCATGATTATTTGTACCTGGGCTTTTAGGCACCTAAATTATTCTTTTTCATGCTGTAAAAACATGTTGCTATGTTTATGCTTTCTTATTTGGACTACCACTGATTTTTCTGAACAAAAGACAATATATTAAAGAGAGTTCCATTAAGGTTAGTTACTCCAGGCTACAAATGGAGTCCCTCCGCTGACGGAAGCTCTAAGTATACATACAAAATTGCTCTAAAAGCACAGAATAAATTGATTGAAAAATTAGCTTCCTCAAACAACAAACCAGTTCAGTCAAAATAATTCCTTGCCAGATTTGACTTCTTGACCAATCATTTGGGCTGAATTGATAGTTTGTTTTACTTAAATTTTCTGTCAATTTACTGAAAACTCTGAGAGTCTAAATAAGCTCCTGCCAAAATTGTGTCATAGGAATGTAATGCAAATTTAAAATACAAAGTACAATATCATTGTATGCCAAAATACACCAAAGGTATAGTGCAGCTTTTACAAATGTCACATATCTAAACTTTTAGACCTGTCACATTTTTCACAGGAAATTTTTCTGTAGATATTAACTTCACTTTCTGTGCCCACCTGCTTACATAGACCCTTTGATTATATGTGGATGCATGTGGGATGTGTGACATCATGGACAAGTACTCCATTCTATTTCACCAAGTGTCACAAGAGTTTCACATACTTCCTTGTCCATAAAGATGCTTAATAAATGTCTGATAATCATCACTGCACAAGACAGGGGACGATAATGTCATCTTAGTTGTCTTCAGTTTAAAAGTGTGCCTTTTTTATTTGTCATTATTGCTTGGCTTGTTTGTCCATGTTCGGATGCAATGATGATTTTTCAAAGTAGGCCTGATGTGAGCAGGCACTAAATGGTACCAGGTACTAGCCATCATGGAGGGTTCGTTGGCCTGTGTGCTTCAGTGTCTGTTGAAGTGCAATTCTGTATTTTAGTATGTGGCTATGAGGATGATCCCCAAAGACCCCTACTGCAGAGGGTTCCCAACAGGTACAATCTCAGTGAATGTGAACTGATGTAGGCAAACAACTAGAAAAACCTGAGAAGGGCTGGAATGTCATTGCAAGATCAGGTTAAAGAATGACAATAACTTCTGTGGGGGAGTGCTCACTCACTCTCCCCATAGCCATGCTGAAGGAAGTCAACTGGCTACGGAGAGAAACACGTGGAAAGAAAACATGGCATGTCTCTGTCCAACAGCCAGAAAGGAGCCCATGTCCTCAACCAGCAGAACACAAGAAACAGGATCCTTCCAATGGCCACTCTGCACGCTCTGGAGAGGAGCCTCTGAGGGGCGACTCCACGTGAAGTCACAGTTGGGCAAAATAGCCACAGCCTCAGGAGCCACCTGGTACTCACAGACGGGCAATGAAAGAAGGCCATATTTCTGACCCACAGACACTACCAAATAATAAAGGATTATTTTTGAAAATGCAAGTTTTAGGGTAATTTGTTGTGCCACAATAGGAAACTCATGTAGCTTCATTAAGAAGACTAAGGAGGAAGAGGTGGTGCCAGCACTCCTTCTTCACCCAAGAAGCACTTACTGTTTGGTTATGGAGCTTTGTGTCCAGAAACCACCTTTTAGAAAAGAGAATGAGATGTGGAAAAGGTAAGGTAACCCATTACCCCCTCGTCTATCCATCCCTTCAGTTCACATATTCTTGGGCCTTACATCCAGTACCACTCTCAAGAGCAGTTCCATTATCATGTTCAGGTCCAGTTTGGGGGGAAAAAAATCACTTTAAACACGGCACACAGAAAGAATTTCATGCAGGGAATTTGTTACACAGCAAAAGAAGAACTGAAAAAGTCACACATGGGAGGTGAAGTCCACAAAGTTTTGCAAGAACAGGAAAAAAAAAACAGTTCTGCCCTCTAGGACAGCAGAGAGAGGGGCTGGGAGGCCAGACCCATGTGAAAGAAGACAGAAGAAGCTGCGAGGATTTGGACTTCAGAGGGAGGGACAGGCTGTTGAGGTGGAGTCGCTGGAGGAGAGATGTGAGGCTGGTCAGCCTCTCCCACCACTTTTCCCGTGTTCCAGTGCTGGCCTGGCTGTCCAGGGAGCTGGGGAAGTAGAGGGGCAAGATGGAAAGCAGCAGGATTTCCACTAGGACTGCAATAGGCGTTGCCTAGGTTTGTCAGTCAGATGCCAATGCTGCTTGCCCACTATGAAGTGTTGGGTCACAGGTAGGTCAGGACCTTTCCCTATCTCCACGTTCTCCCTTCACATCCCACTATATTTTTTTCATTACATTTTTCTTCTTAGAACTGCCTTAATATTTAGTTTGCCTCTCTCTCTCTCTCTCTCTCTCTCTCTCTCTCTCTCTCTCTCTTGCTGTAGCCGTTTTATTTACAATTTTTTACCTTTAATTTTAAAATGAATCAATAACATTGTGCCTGTTTATCATGTACCATGTCACATTTGGAAACACACGTACAGTGTAGAAAGGTAAAATAAATCTAATTACAATGAACTCATCTCCTTTTCCAGTGAGAATATTTAAAGTCTGCCTTAATGATTTTGTTCAACTCTACAGTACATTGCTATTAAAAATAGTTACCATGCTGATACCTCTATCAAACTTAAAATTTTCATCCTTGACCAACATTGCTGCTATAGTGGCAGCAATAAGAAATTAAGAATCGCCATCTGTATTTATACTATTTCACACGCTCTTGTGTTTTTCTCTAGACACATGACTACACAAGGAGGAAGAGCTTACGTGTACAAGCTGGAGCAGTACTAAATTCCTTTCTGTTTAAAAAAAATGAATAGAGATATTTTAAAAAGAAACTATATTAGTATTCACAAATTTTATGACACTTAAAATGTAAAGTCAACATTTGTAAGAATTTTACATCAATTTCCTCCAGCAATAAATATAATAATTTTATGCCTTTCTAAACAGAAAAGAATAGGTTAGAATTTCAAGGACTTTTGGAAGTAATTTTCATACCTCTCTGTTGATATAGGGCAGAATGAGCAAACATGGTTTTTGAAAGTAAGTTGTATTTTGAATTCAGATTCATTATTCAGAAAACGGCTAAAAAAGACAAAGTGTTATATATCACAATGTTTCATGACTGTTGGGAATTTTTATTTCTTAAATTTTCATACTGTGTACTAGGCTTTTGTACTTTTTAATCATTAATTGTTTCTTTCAATATTTACTTAGCAAATGTTTATTTGGCTTTAATTACATTATTTCATTCTGGTTGCTGGAGTGTACACTGAAGGAAGACTAGCCATATATATATATAAAACAAAGAACCAAAACCTACACACACACACACACACACACATAAATTAAAAAGTAATGTAAAACAGAGGCAAACATCATATACATTGTAGGACTTCAAATGAAATAGCACACAGGTATAAAAAAGCATTAAAATATTAAAGATATCAATAAATGCAATGGATTCCAATTAAGAAGATTCTTC